GGGCACTTCCCCTTTTGGCTTTTCTCCCTTCTCCCCTCCATCTGCAGCCTTTCCACATTTTCACTCTGCCTCCACCCAGCTATGTGTGAGTTGCAGCAGATTGATGTAATGGCAAGCTGTTGTGGTTGGCCTGGTGGCCCCTCAGCAATGCCTGTGTCCGTGTTCTCAAATGGCTGAGCTCCTTTTAAGGAAATAAAGCACCGAAGCAGCTCAGAGTGAGGACACTCGCCTGCACCAGTAACTAGCTGCTCATGCAGGTTACCACCTCTGAATGCCTGTGGCCGGCAGGGAAGACCCCAAGATGCGAAGGTTCTCGGTGATGCCAGGCACCGAGGCTCTGCAGCTACGCAGGCTTCTGCTTCAATAGCTGGGTTGTGGGAGGGAGGTAACATCAGTCACTTGACAGTTCTCACTGGAGGAGAAAAATTTCAAAAAGCTCTTTCCTTTTAACGTCTCCTCCCATACTAGTGTCCTGTATTTTAAAGAAATAGAAAGTTTCTAGCTTCATATAAATCTCATCTGTCTTCTATTGATGTCTAGGATCACTTTGACTTGTTACTTTGGGCATCTTCTGTCAGCTCTCCAACAGTTTCAAGCCAATTTTGTGAGATTAATTCTGCCCACCTCATCCTCTCTGTATACATATATATGTATATATATAGAAGAAGAATATATTCTTATATACAGAAGAATATCTGTATGCATTATATATTCCAGGTCCATCTGATAATCTTTTTCGGTGAGAAACCCTTGACTTCTGTGTTGGAAATCCAAATGGTCATCTTCAGCATCAGACAGCTGCCTGTGCAGAAATGGTGAGCCCACAGCCTCTTTCTGAGGCCAGGAACGCTGTGAGATGGCTTTTTGGTTCTTACCCATCGATGGCCAGGTGCAGTATGGGCAGTGATGGATAACAGAAGATACTGCTTGCCTTTCTAGGCAAATGATACCACTGCAGCAAATGGCTTTTTCTGCATGACGTGGGGTCTGACCTACAGCTTCCCACACGTGGGTTGATTTAGGATACAGTCCCAGGGCAGAAACAGCCCAAAATTGCAACCGTCTACCACATACAGGATGTTCAGTACTGATTATCCACAAAAGGTGCACGCAACATTTAACCTAAAACTTGAATAGAGGCAGTAAGAATCAGCAGAAGATATTTCAAATCAGCTCCTATGTTGTAGGTTAGCATGGGAAATAGGGCTGCCTGTCCAAAATAGGCTACAAAGCACTAACTCTTAATGGAATGGAATTTCAGAGGGATGCATATTTCTAAATAACTTAAATCCAAATTTCAAAAGGATATTTAGGAGAGAGAGAAAAACAGAGTCCCTAGTGCCTTAAAGAGCTATGAAAATCTAGCTTTTTGCTTATCTGAAAAGGATCCCTGTGTTTTCTAGAAAAACCTAAATGTAGAGCAGGTGGGTGAACAGAGTAAAAAAATAAAAAAAAAGTCATAGGTGCCAGATCAGCCTGAGAAGGAAATTTGGGGTGAAGAAGAGGTCAAGGAAGGAAGAAGATCTAGTGGACAGAGCAGCAGAAATGAAGTTTGCAGGAGAAAGCTGCTCAACACATGGTGGCATTCTGAGAGTTACAACATTAAAAATATAGCAAGCTCATCAAGGAAATGAAGAGACATAGCAGTGACCAGAACACAACTTTTAATATGTTTCTGCTTTGCTGTGCTGCTTGGCGTTATCACTAGAAACTGTTGATGACTTTACTTCCACAAATGACCTTTTCACATCTGCTTATCATTTTTTGCATTGGTCAGAAGCAACCTATGTCTTGGGTGCTTCTGTCGGGGGTCACAAGTCAAAACATACATTTCGTGAACCTCTGTCACCTCCCTTATGAAATTTGCACCCTCTCTAGTCATTTTAAGTGAGACACTCAAAATCTGAAGGCACCCAATAAAATCTGGCTAGTTAATTGAGTACTTTAACTTCTGAAGTCTACTAGACCTTCATTCTCAGAGCGGGAGAGATGTTTCAAATGGTTCTCTCTATCATATCTATAGCACCACGTTCAATTCTCAGTCTACGGTTGGAAGAAGCAAGAAAGGAGATTTTTGAAAACACGCAGAGGAGCTAGAGCCTATCTTTCTTTTCTAAAAATAGCTTATTTCCCCTAATCTTTGACCTTTAAAATGCTAAATTGATGAAAAAGGTAATTAAACTTTTGACTCCAAGGGTTAAAGGTTTCATGAAGCGTTACTACAAATCTGAGTAAGCAAACGGTCATTTGAACATTTCTATCTCACAGGCTGATTAAAATTAAAAACAGATTTCTCACCTAATTTTAGTAAGATTTTTTTCATTAAAAACCCCTGCAATTTCTGTTGTTACCTCTATAACACTACATGTACAAAAAAGTCCTCCAGAGCCTAGTGGTCCTCTTCCATAAATGTCTGACTCAAACTACCCTTCCTCAGTGCATGCTGATCTCTCAGGGCGTTAGAGATTAAGTGGAATGCACTGTAAATCATATGTTGAAAACCAGCAAAGTGCACAGGGGATTCCTGTTTGACAAAGGGAGCAGATGGGACATTAGGAAAGTCACAGAGAGAAAAATTGTTGCCTGGTCATATGTGCTCATGTGCATCGCCTGTCAGTTATCATAGGCCACAGTCTGTCTCCCAGCTACAAGAAATATATAATATCAGTGGGTCTTTACAACTCTCTCCCACCTATCTATCATTCTTCAAACTACGTTTTCAGATCATCCTTTTCTACCTAAGTGTGGTGATAAATAGAGGTGAGAAACAGATCTTAGGACTTAGAGATGACAGCACTGCACTGTCTACACTGCCGTGCCGCTGCCTACTTGGAAAGACAGTCCCCTTCATCCCTAAAACATATATGGGATCGTATAGGCCAAACACCACTCCTAAGGCATTGGCTTATCTCTAACAGATTTTCTTTTGACAATGATCCAGAATGTGCATAGCAATCATACGGCTCCTGATATGTTTGGAGCATGTGTTCAGACCCTTTCTGTAAAAAAGGAGAATTAGTTTTTTCAGTATACTGCTTTCAAAAAGTTACTTTAGGGCTAGAAAAAGTAGCAGGAGAAGAGGTGAGAGTGTATGCAGGTTTACAGAAAAGACAAACATTGCAAACGCAGGAGTTGATACCTACAGTTAAGATCATCCATGAAAGAGAGTACTGTGAATTGTCTTTGTTTCTGTTGACTATGGTAAATGTCTCACTACAAGATGTGACCCTTCGAAACCAAAGAGTTATGGGTAGAGAAAGTGGCTGTAGAAAAAATGTTGAAGTCAGGACATGGAAAATCTAATTTATTGCTGAGTGCACAAAGTAAAACTAATGAGAACAACAGATGGAACTGATCATATTTAGGACACCAAAGAAAACATTTTCTCCTTCATTTATTACAGTAACTTTTAATATAAGTTTATATTGATATGCAATTGAACTATTGGGAGAATCATTACATCATCAGCAAATATAAATTTCATCTTTGCTGGTTCTGTATGATATTTGCGAGGTGAAGTAAATTAAATGCAATCAAAAATCGTGTGTGTTTATTTGGGTTTGAACAAGGGATTTTTTAAAAATTATTATTTTTTTTAAATCAAGGCTTAAATATTTTGTAAGGTTTAGTTACTGTGGGAGAAAGGAGGCTTAACTCAATTTACTGAGGTGACACACAAGCTGTAAAAGCAAGATTTTGGCTAAAGACCTTTGGACTGAGAAACAAAGCACTAGGGAAGTGACCATATTATTAAAAAACATTTTTTAAAATGAATTTGTTCGTAAGGTATGTCAGTATGCATGTAGGAGCTGAACTTTACACTCACATTTTTGGTAAGAGGGGATCAAGTGTTAAATAACATGAAGATGCATAAGATGCTGCATTCTCTACTAGCTAGTGCTGAAGTTTGGGAGTAGGTTCTGTCCCTAATGCTGACACCATCCTGCTGTATTACCTTGACTTGCTTATTTTGCCTTCTGTGCCTCCCTTTCCACCTTTATTGGACTTCCTTAGACAATAAACATGCAAAGGCACTTGCAATCTTTGTGTAAACAATCTTCCACCTTGACCCTCATTCTTAAAATAGGAATGTAAAAGTGATGAGCAATACTTTTATTTGTGGATAAACACACATATTTTGATAGTCACTCCTCTCCTGAAATATTTTTATTGTATAGGATATTGATCACAGCACTCTGGCAGTCATTGTCCTTTTTTTTTTTTTTTTCCCCCTACTAGTAAACAAGCATCATGCTCAAGTAATATCATCTAGTCCTTTTTAGTGGACTACATGTGAGCTGATGCATGCAGCAGTCAGCAGCATTGCTAGTCCTTGGTGTTGAGTCTGGGATCCCTAAGGAGAATCAGCATTTTGCAAAATCGTCTCTGGACAATAATTTATTTTAATCCAACAGACTTTATCACTTGTGGACTTTTAGCTAGAAGAACAAAATTTAAGTGTTTCCTAAAGTTCTCCCAGTTTAAAAAAAACAAGGGTAAATGAAGATCAGACATTGGAATCTGAAACATACGAACACTCTGTGTGTTCTAATATGGCATTTCTGGAGAAATCTGAATAGCAGATAACATTCAAGACAGCATTCAAATTAATAATACCTGAGACTTTACTGAATTTTTATCAAATCTGAGTCCAGGTAATTTTGACCTGGAACCACATATTTAATTCCATTTCCTACACAGACTGAAAACCATCTTTCCTGTGGAGAATTTCATGCAATCAGTCATGCTTTAGAAATAAGATAAACAGTAGGATCTTTATAACTTCTCTGTGAATGAGAAGGCTTGCTGTCCTTCAAAACGCCTTTCCCAAAGAGAAGGTTGCACAAAAACCCCAGTAAGCACCTCTGTAATCCTGTGCTGAGCAAGATGAAAAGGCACAGGACCTGCTTACGTACCAGCTTGCTATATAGTACCTTAACATTACTGGCATATCATATTATGTACTAATATTTCTTATCAGAGTGGACTAGTCATCTTACCCAAGACTCTGTCATTCTTAGCACTCTGTTGTCCTCCAGTACTAGTTGAAAGGTCCTCCGGTACAGGCATAGGTTCATCTGCATCATCAGGGACATCACTAATTGGAGGACTTTCCTTTCCTAGTAGTGAAGAAAGTAACATCAGTGAGTCATCAGAGTAGCCTCATTTTCAAATAATATCATAAGAGGAACCACAAACCAAATAAAACTTAACAAAAAACCCTAAACAGTACTAAAGCATGACATTCTTAGGACCAAAACCTGCTGTCCTGCAGAGAAAGCTTCTTTTGAATACAGGGGAATTATAATTGTGAAAAGAATGCATGGCCAATGTCTCTTCCAAATTTACTGGAGTCTAATAACTGTGTATCCTTTTGGATATCTGCAATGCACATGGATATTTCTCAGGTGCTATGCTCAGAAGATCCAGGTTCGCCAGCATAGACTGACAGATTACAAAGGTTATCAGATGGTCATCTTTGTAAAAACTCTTCTTGCTTCCACAAATGCTCCTTGAGAGCACATCTGGATTTGCTTCAACGAAAATAGTCTAACCCATAAGCATTCTGGGGCTCTAACAGAACTACCCAAAAAAGAAAATTTTATCTCCAACTAAAAATTCAACTACATCTTCAGCAAGCTTCACTAATACCCACAGATCAAGCTTTGGCTGGTCCTTCTGCCTACAAGTAATTCAGTAGCTCCTGGGACTTCCTAAAACATGTACAATTAGCAGAGGTCAGTCAAAGGATGACTTCAAGGGGTTTATAGTCTCTTATTTGTAAAGAGACAACCAACCTCACTATCTCATGTGCACAAGGTTTTGCAGAAGAAAACAGTCTGGTGCTTTAGTGTGTTATAAGTATTATGGAATTGTTTTAGTGCTGAATGCAATACAATAAGGAAAATAACTCTCTTGCTAAGTATTGCACTTCCAGAAATGGTGAGGTTTCTTGGTTTAGCTCTCAGTCACAGCGTATGTGTCCTGCCCACAGTACCATCCCTGTCTCGCAGAGCTTCTTTTAAAATGATTTCACACATCTGTAACAAAAGCATGCCTTCGAAACAACTACCAAAAGAATTATCTAAGTGATTAGTTTCATCAACTATCAGTAAAAGGCTGGTCTTTGCATTAATAGCAAAGAACAGAATAGGCCCAGAGCAGGATTTGAACTCAGTAATGTTCACATAAGACCTTTGTCTCCAAATTGGAGATGTTACCAATTTACACTGATGCAATCTATTAGACATCCTGTGGCAATCAGCACCCCAGCAAGGGCAGTAATTTCATGGCACAAAGGCCTAGCAAATTAGTGGTTTTTTTTCTAATGAGAATTCCCTCATTAACATGCCAACATTAACTAATTCTGAAATCTCTTATCAGAAAAGGAAAAAATAAAACAAATATAGCTTACTTAAGTGACAACAGTCTGGTGAGGCCAGTTATGGATTGGACATGAAAGAAGAAAACCATTTCCTCCCAACCTCCTGGATGGAGCAAAGCATCGTGCTTTCTGATCTATACTGATCATGATGGGGGGAAAAATGACAGGTAGGTTTAAGTCATCTTCCTAATTAGCTGGTTTGGGTTGTTGGTAACCAACACATCTAGATTTAAATAAACAAAATGACTGGGTGACTGCATTTCTTCATGATGCGTCTATCAGACTGTGGAATAATCTCTGAGCAGAAGTGGTGGGAGCAGCATCAGGTGAACCATTTAAAAACCATCAAAAACCACAGCCAGAGGACTCGAGGGTAGCGAAGGAACAGTCCTGCACTGGCAGAGGGGCCGACTAGGTGATTTCACAAGGTCCCTCCCATGTCCAGCGTCTGCGGGGTATTCTTAAATGGGCAAAATCACACCCCCTGGATGCGAGTGCAAAAGCGAAGGTGGATTGCGTAAATGGAAAAGAAGGACTATGAATTTTACAGCAGAAGAGAGTAAAAGCAGGAAGTAAGCTCATTAAAACAGTTTTTGCCATTCACTGTTTAGCTCCTTATTTAGTTATTCCTGTAGTTTTCTGTGCTATTTTCATGGGATGTAAGGAACTTAAAGAACTGCCAGAAACTTTCCAGTGCAAGTCCCATTCTGCTAAACTGAGCTTACAGAGAGGATGCACGGGTGAGGAGACACAGCTGAAATATTTCAGCTTTTTCAACACTTGCCCCCCCCCCCCCACAAAAACAAAAACAAAAACCCAGAAGTTTAATTGGAGGGCAAGAGATGGTCTGGTCAGAATCAGCTCTCTTGACACTACATGGAGGTTAAGGAAATGTGTTAAAAAGTAACAGTAATTAAAGGCCACCTGCATCTTCCAAGGTTCAAATTGTGCTCCCAGTTACAACGATGGAAGTTGATGCTTTGACTTAGTCTAGATTCAGAAGAACACTTACCCTAAAAACCTGAAGGCTTTTTTGTCTACAAACTAATATAAATACATAACATCTGACCTATGAGATAACAGTGAACAAAATCAAAACTTTCCTAGTGTGTAATTAGGCATCCTACTATAAGCAGGCTGAGTAGGATGCTTTGAAGATAAGTCAAAGCAGTCTTTTGGAATAGAAACCTTTTAGTAGATCAGTACTTTTGCAGTTCATGGTGAACTGTTTGGTTCACTAAACAGATATCAATCTTCTACTTGTTAAATTAATAGCCGTTTGCCTAGGTGGCATGAATCAGACAAGCCTCACAGACTTGGTGGGGCATAAACCGGAGATCTGGCATGCTTCCCTCTTTGCAGGAGACTGCAGTTAAGAAAACTTAGTAAACTTGGCTTTAATGACTCATTTCATATCATTAGATTTCTTCCTGTTACACATGATCGAGAAATCCCTGCATGCAAAAAGGCAGGGTAAAAATAGTGGATTTAAAATAGATATATTTGTTGAGGTCTGTGTCTTGGATTCTAGAGCATGATATTTATATTTCATGCCTTAACTACATCTAAATTGTTACACCATGATAAGTTCACTAATGCATGGTAATTTTACAGATATGCAATCTCACTAACATCCTTTTGCCAATGAATTTAGAAATGGAAAGGGGTTGGGGAAACGGAGGGAAGAGTTTCCCATTTAATTTCTAACAGGCATGTCCAGAACAGTAACTGGTTGAAAGGATGGAGCTAAAAAAACCACCTAGTGGCAAGTACTGGGGTAAATTATTAAAATGTCATATAACAAAGTACCATAGATTTATTCCATTCCCATTTTATATTTTTGTTTAAAAATAAGAAGTGCAGCATAAACAATGCAATCTAATCTTCGGGTGGGAGATGCCCTTTTTTTTTTTTTTTTTTTTTTTTTTTTTTTTTTTTATATAAAGAGCCATTTTTTTTTTTTTTTTTTTTTCTCATTTTCATTTATATAAAGAGCCGCCTGACTTATAAAACGAAAAAGACAAGGGAGCTGTAGAGTTGAAGTTCTGTTTCTGGCACTGCCACTGATTCATTGTGCCCTTGGTTAAGTCATAAATGGAGATAATTTCAATTGCAGGCTGTATCATACTTTCCCGCAATTCATCCTGAAGCTCTGAAAGATGGTCTCAGATTTCCAAACACTGTCATTTCTGTATGAAAAGTGTCAGAGAGGTGCCTAACCTATCAACTGTGCCTGGTAAGACCCTCAACTTCTCTCTGCTTGAGTTTCCTCATCTCTACCCTAGAAATAAAGACTTGAGGAAAGACAGAAAGGGAAAAAAGTGCCCAGCCCAGTAAGGTTTTATCCATCCTTTATTCCTACCAAAGTCCATAGCCTGGTGTTGCTTTAACATTTCCATTCAGTTCTGAGAGCAATTCAATTCATGCTGAATGAGCAATTCAGGATGGTCCTGCTGGAGCTACGACTGTTAAAAAGAAAGCCAGGGCAGGATTTCTTACAGAAATCTCATTCTCTATCCTTTCAGAAACTAATGTTGGGTGTATTTAATACCTGTGGGTGGTTTCCTATGGAAACACTGGAATCACTGGAGAAGTTATGCAAGAAAAGCAACATACACATTTTTCTGGATGAGAATCACAACCCAATTCAAGTTCCCTTTTCACTAGTGGAACCTCAAATCTCTGGTGATGAGAAGGTGATGTGATGCTCTGGGATAGCAGCCAGGCTCTCAGGTATGAGATACCAGCCCAAGATAGATTCATTTCCACCTTCCCAGGACCTAGCAATAACATCAAATGCAAAACTCTTCTTCCTGCTTTTGCAGAGAGTGGCACAGCCTGGTCGGTGCTAGGGGGATCTTTTTACGTTAGATGTGGAAACATTTGTACTGTTTTTTCACCTTCCTTAACTGTTAGGCCCTAGAACTGAGAAAGAAAAAAAAAAAAAAAAAGGCAGGAAAAATACTGCTTGTTAAGTGAGATATTATCTATGTTTTCTGACTCTCTTGTATGGGTGCCGGATACTGTTTGGTTAAATGTATGTCAGCTCTCTCCTCATTTCAGAACTGCAACTGCTTGCCTCATGAAATATCACTTTCAGGAGAAAAATAAAAAGTGTGAACTCTGCACTAGTCACACGGTATTTCAGTTCCTCTAGGAGTTAGCCATGCCTGGATTCCCAGAAGCGGGAATGCCTGTGCGCACACAGGGTTTGGCTCGCTCACACTAAGTTTTTGCACTCTCTTGGCCTGTCTCACCCCTGCCACACCTGAGTCAGCTACAGCTGCATAAAGCACATGGCTGCAAAGCACTGCTTTTGAGCTGAGAATACTGTTTCTAAAGACCTATTTTATTTCTGGGTTAAAAAACAAAACAAAACCCCCAAAGAAACCCTCTGAACTAATTTTATTTTTTAATTTATTTTTTTAAAGCACACAACCAAGTGTGCTAGTGAACCAAGTCACCTAATTCCAGAGGCTCAGGGAGTAAACTGCACCTGACAAGGATTACTCACAGGGTAGGAGAAATAAATAAAAGTGTTTTTCAGCTGACAAGACAATCTCACACTCCTGAAACTGTGCAATCATCTAACTGCTTCCCAATATACAGTAGAGCTCCCTCATCATACAAGGAAGCATCCTAGAAGCACACAGAACCCCAGGAGGAGGAGGAGAGCAGGAAAACTCCTTTCTGGATTCACCAGCCTATGAGAAAGAAGCAGGTAACATCCCAGTACCTTCAGATCCTCAACTTTTGAGGTCTAGTAAGAGCTTATGAAGAGCCAATATCTGTGGAACCTAATCTGACAAACTCCTGTTTCCAGAAGGCTGAGTTCACACACAACTCAGATCATAAATGAAAATAAAGTCACAAGTTCTTTCTTTGGCTAGTTGCTCACAAATCCAGCTAACAACCCAATACAACTCAGCCTCTGCTCACAGAAAGTACCAGATGCTCAGTGACAGGAACAGCAGGAAGAGTTCAAAGCAGATTTTTTTTTTTTTTCTGTAATCTGTTTATGTAGGTCTACCTCTTGTCAGAGGTAAAATTCCTCTTACACTGATTTTTTTTTCTTTTTCTGTAAGAGAAACCTCTCTCATCACAGAAGAGTACTATTCTCATCAGCATGATTTGCTAGAAAAGCTTAAGGGCACCAGAGAGTACTACAGTGGTTCAAATCCTGGACAACTTTAGGAGCTACAAATTATATACACAGATAACCCTATATTATGTATATATTTACATACACACAAACATTCAAAATGGCAAAGTTTCTTGAATATCTTCCCTGTCGAGGGGAGAGGCAGTCCATAAGGAATGCAAAATGTGTGACCTTCTAATCCATTCCTTCAATCAAGTAGCATCTCCTACACTGCTCCTTCCCATGCCAAAAGAAGAGGGGGGGAAAAAAAAAAAAAAAGCAATGCCCTGGTAGGAGGTAGGAGATTAATGCCGTGGTGAAAAATACCACAAAGGTTAGGTGTGAGTATCCAGGGGAGCCTGTGCTGCTGCAGAGGAAGAGGAGGTCAGTGCTCCTGCTCCCAGGAGCTCATGCAAGTAGCAGCGGGCAGAGGAGCTGGGCTTGAATCAGGGCGCTTCTCACTTCTCCGAGCAGGTCCACAGCGCTCTATCTGCGTAAAGGTATAAAACCCCACTGCTTTTTCTGCTAGGGCCACGCGTGGCATGTATAGGACAGGTTTTATTTCATTTACAAATTCTTTCAGCATGCAACAAAACACTGATGTGTAAGTATATCCAGTTACAATTTTAAAATTGTTACCTGAGGAGGAGAGCGCAAGTGCCTCCACAGGGCTCACTAGGAGTAACTTCCCTATATTAAACATAACTGAAAATCTTCTGTTGGCATGAAGAATTATTCTGTTGTTGTTCTTTCAGATGGAAAATGTCTTTGATTTTCAACTTTCAGCTGACACTAAAAGTTCTGAGTTCCAATTTTTGAGAAAACCCCTCAACTCCTCCAATTTTTAGAAGCGGGGGGGGGGGAAGAGAAAGAAAATTGTGTTCATATATTTCAGGAAAACCCAGTGACCTAGCCACACAAACTGTACCCAGACCTTCATGGTCTCCTATAGCTGGCCTCCATGTCCTGAGCCGGCAGTGCCCTAGAGCCGCACACCCAGGTGCCTGCCGGGAGCGGCCTCGGTGACGGGCTGTCGTGCTCCAGGCTGAACACTAAAAGTGAAAACTGAAAGCCATTAACCGTTGCAGCTGCCAACATATTAGGGAAACTAGGAAAGAGAATAACTTGTTCGTTTTCAACTGCAGAGGCACAACGGTATGAATACGTATTATCTTGCTAAGCCAATTTTTTAAGGAACCAATTTGCAAGGAAGTTAAGAATAAAACCCCTCCATGGGAATATCAACATGGAGTAAGACTGCAATATCCTATCCGTGTCACTACAGGGCAAATTTTAGAAACCTAACTTCTCTGCTGTTTAATTTATTTTTTTTTAAATATTATCATGTTGGACAAAAACAGTTACAAGCATGAAGTCTCATGTCAATGAGTCTTTTTCTTTTTAAAAATGTTTATAAGTAAAACTGAATGCTCTGGAAAAACTCAAATAACCCTATGTGGTAAATACAGTTTGTTTGCTTTTAATTAGTATTTGCCCCCTCCCACCTGGTGAACCTTGTTTGTTCTATATTTATTTTGTAACAATCAGAATTTTGCCCCCAGAAAATGTGCACCTGACCATGCTTCAGGGATACACTACCACAGGTTTAATGCAAAATTACATCTACGCTTCTATATTCCCTCGACTTCTTTATTTACCCAGTTCCTTTTAAAAAATCCATGCACTGTTGGGCTTGATATCAAGTGATATAATTAATTATATCTCAATTCCCTCTCTGGTTTTAAAAAAGACCCAAAGCAATTTTATTGACAACAAGAAAAACATTGTACTGTGCTAGAAAGATGAGCAGAAATTTAGGATTTTCTTTGTAGGAGTATTCGTTAAGGACCTCACCTGAAACCTGGGACATATCTTGAGCCTCATCTGTTTCCATTTTCCTCAAGTTATCTGAGAAGAGAGGAAGAGCCTTAAGTTAATGCAAAATAACACACACATAAAAAGAAAAAAAAAAAACCACCAACCCCACACACACACAGAAGGAGAAAGAAGGGGAAAGAAAAAAAAACCCTTTGCTATTTAACTATAAGATTATCTGGGAAGAATAATGTATTTTTCTCTTTATTTCCTCCCTGCATACTTGCTGGAGTATCAGACTGGCACAGACCTTGATCCTTTTAAAAACAGCATTACAAAGATTTATAAAAATATCATTACAAGCACAGGAGGACCAAATTTGTTATTTATTGTTAATTTCCTACTGCATAATAACCCAAAATGCAAACTGACTGCAACAAAATTAAGCAGAAAATTAAATGGCCCTGGGTCATTGTAGGCACAGAATTCATTCTCTTGGTTGATCCATAGTTATGTTCTTTCTAATTTACTGAGCATGCATCGATGAACCTTGAGTCAGCTTGGTGACACGCGTACAATCAGCAATCAAAAAACGAAGCAATTTGCTGAAGAATGTCTCATTTACCCAGGCAGGGCTGCATATCTGAGCAGCAACCGCCACTACCTCCATTAATAATGAATACACCTCCAGCCGCGGCAGATGGGCAGAGCAGCAGCTTCAGGCTTTGGCCCCTCGCTCGCCCGGGAGCCCTTCCTTTAGACCAGCCCGACGCTGCGCGGGGGAGAAGTACAGCTCCCGAAAATAGCGAAACGAGCCCAGGAGGGAAAGGGAACCCATGCCTTCCTGTTTTGCTGACAGATGGCTGGCTCCACGGCGTGGTGAGCGATACCGGGAAGCTCCTGCCCTCCGCTTGCGACACACCATCTTCTGAGGAGCCAGCAAACAGTGACCACAAGCACCAGGGAGAAGCGTGTGGAGGGTTAGTGGGGTAGAAATAAAATTCAGGTTTTCAGTCGGAAGGGAACCCTGCAGGCCCCAGGGCTCGAGCACCGGTTGCAGACAGCTGGTTGCCCCTTGGATAATAGATGTGCTGCTGGAGCAGGTAGTACCAGCACAACCTGGTCCCCACCTTGAAGTATGGCGTGGGCGGCTGAGGTAGCTTCAGGTGGGGATGGGACAAAAAGCCTACAAGCTCTTTGTTCAGCCATGGTATGCTAGGTCACATCTTTAGCTGGTGTGGCTGGCTTCACATCCTGCCAAGCAGAGGAGCTGGGTCTTTGCTGCCGAGATACCTGCCTCAACAACCCCATTTCCTGGAACTAAAGAAGATGCATTTTCTTGAGGGTTGGAAGTAGAGGAGGATGTGGCTTGAGTTCCTACAGAGAGGATTCAAACCTAATCCTAACCTTTTTAGCCCAACTTCGATAATTTTTTCCCCCTCCCCCCCAAAAAATCTTGAAACTGCTACCCAATAAGCTGCAGTGGGAAAGCGAATAGCCATGGTCATATTTATTAATTTCATAAGTTTTATGATCTCCTTACTTGCTTCTGAATGCCCTCAGTACATCTGAGATCCAATATACTGCTGCCCACCCCCGCTGCCCAACACCGCCCCCCCCGCCCTTGCAAAAGGTGGCTTCCCTCACCAGGTCCATGCTCAACTTGCAAAAAGAGAGCCTGTAAACTGCAGGACTGCAGAGGGATAGGTTGGGGAACAGACTCTGGTCTATGCAGTTTGCAAAAAAAAAAGTTTGGTATTCTTGCAGAGCATTCTGCCTGTTGCACATGTACCGTAGCACTGCTTAATATCCAATAAAGCTCTGTCTCGCTTTATTCTGCTCTCAAACTTTAATTCCAGACAAGCAATTTGTTTAATGTCTATATATAATTCTCAGAAATGACTACAGCCATGCAAAACGCAAAAAGCCACCTACCACTCAACAATTTGCATCAGTTCCTATGGGACTGAAGAGCTTTCAATAGGTCCGTTTTTAATGAAATAGTCAGTGGGAAATGCAGCTTCTCTTGCAGGAGGGAAAACCCTATAATGGTAGCCTGCTCAGTTACTGGAAACATGGTGTATTTATGGCAGGTGGTATGGTACAAGTGCTCGGTATAGTCCCTTATTTCTCCTGCAAGCATGACTGAACACAAAGGAATAAAAAAAGAAATGTCTGTGCATCTATTACTGCCTTCCAGGGTCACCTGGCTAATATTAATCAGTTGATTACTACATATTTTTCCACAGAGTACAGTGAACGCCAATCAACCAAAGAAAACATCCCAAGAAAATACCCACCAGAAGGGAGCCATACTCATGAAAGGCACTTTATTCCAACTGCACCTGCCTTCTCCCTATTGCTAGGGCTTCAACAGGACTGGGAGTGAGAAGGGGAGGAGGTGGCAAAGGAGGAAATTTCTTCTATTTTTGTGTTCCTGAATTTACCTGCCTTTGGCATGACAAGCCTTACATTCAGCATTTCTGCAACTTAAGCAGCACACTTCTCAGCTGTACTCCTTCCTGCCACGAGGCAGAATTCAGTTTGAAAACACTTCCCAATTCTTAAACGGAGAGGTAAACTAGAGTACAGATTTTTTTTTTCTTCTTTTAAATGGACGTGAACTGGACTACAGTTTGGTTTTCTTTTGGGGGGGGGCTTGTTTTTTGGGGTTTTTTAGTGGAATACTCCTAGGCTTGCTTTCTGTGAAGTTGGATGACTGCCTGTCCTGAAACAGATGCCCTCAATTCTCAAAGAGATGACTTCAGGGTTTATCCTTGAATTAGGTGATTTTAGGATATTCATCAGAACTGATCCATTTCCCAAGGATGAAGCATGGAGAGAAAATAGAGCTGGCGGAAAAGTGATGAGGGAAAGATTTTTTTCCTCTAATGATTATTTAGAACAATTAAGCATGGTTCCTAGATGTAGATTAAGATCCACAAGCACTATGGAAATTGATAAAAGAGAAAAAAAAAGGAACTTTTAAAAATCCCAAAGGATGTTTCGAATCCCTCCCAGGGGAAAATTGTACTCTAACACTATAGCGTCCTGTGGTATCTGGTAAATACTAATGAAATCCCAGTTCAGCTTAGGGTCTGCATCAGCAAAGAATACATGACAGGACACCCCCCACCCCCAATTCTGCAATGACAGCAATGTGTTGGGTTTGCCTCTGTGACCGTTAAAAGGTTTTTCACAATGGACTTGGGAATAACATGTCTTGGGCTAAATTTTACATGCTAAGAGGAGAATTTACCTCTTTGCCTTTGGTATGGTAAATCTATGAATAGGAAACTATGCCCTGTTTTTCCCCCCCTTTCCTCCTCTGCTCCAGAATCAACAGAAACATTGTCACTGACTTCCCAGAAAGCAAGAGAGCCCTATGTTCAGATACTAGGATTTGCACCAAAGTATCTACTTGATATCAATTTGTAAATTAATAGATCTTTACAAAGATTTATCTAAAATACCACTTTTTTTTTTTTTTTTTAGAACTGTTTATGACATGAGACTCTAAATAACTGTTTGTTTTGGCAAGAAAAAAGAATTGTTTTGCCATTTTTCATTGTAAGTTTTATCTACAGAATCGAATTTATCACTAACATAAGAAGTGTTTATGACTTCACTGTCTTCAATGCAGTCACATCTATTTAGGTTAGCAGCTAATTTAGGAGCCTGAAGTTAGAAATCAAAAGCTGGGTGGGTAGCTGACCGAAGCAATCTTGCTCTCAAATGCTGAACGTGTGTAGCTCTCATTTATAGCAGGAAAGGGATCAGCACCTAGGTGATATTAGATATTTCTTCTGTTTAGGAATCCAAATAGCTCCTTTCAAAATAGGTGAAACTATTTCTTCAAGTCTTTTCAGACACAGAACTCTAACCTGTACGTTTTCCTCTTCAAACTCCAAATACCAGATTCACAGATGAAGATAGCATAATGCTTTGGAAAAAGAATTGAATGTTTCAATCTTAAGCTGATTAATAATCAAAACACAAAAAACCTGAAAAGCTATGTTGATTTTGTTTTAAATAAGAAAGCACCTAACTGACCATGCTCACACAAAAATTTTGGAGTAAAGTTACTCAGCATTTGTCTAGATTTGGTCTTGAGCCCAAAGAAAATTTAAATGTGACTGATTTCCCTGCTTCCAACTCTCTCTACAATATAACTTGTGCTATGTCTTAAGTATGTATCAAAATACACCCCGTGAATCACTGAGTTACTGCTCCATTTACACCTAGTTTCAATTACAACCAGAAGTGGATTTTGGGACCTTTTAGGATTCCGGGTGTAAATAGGAGGAAGTCATTGCAAGGTCAAGATTTTCTGATCTTTCAGAATACAGCAAATTAATTATTTGCAAGTCTTGGTTTATTATTTCATCTCCTGTTTTACAATGCAAATTCAAAAGTAAACCTCCTTGTCAAGAAAATGAAGGCTTAGCATTTATACAGCGTTTGATCAATTCAAACAAACGTGTAAGCATGTCAGTCCTTCTACAAACCCTGCTCTCTTAGGATGTTAAAAGATCACAAGATTGGGCCACTGATATAATTCAATGGAATGACCTAATCCAATGCCAAAGACTAGCTATTTTGTTTTCTTCTTTGTTTCCCAAGCCGCATATGTACTGACTTCTCTGAGACAACATGTGCTTCACCCTCAGCACTATGGGACCTCACTTATGGTGTGGAAATGAAATCACAAATTGTGACATTTGTGGAGCCATGTTGGACTTAGACCACCAGCACACCTAAACTCAAAGCTGGCCTTCCACCTACAGCTAGCTCTAACTCTGGTGCTGCAAGGAGTCCACAAATGTACACCACGTCCAGCTGCATGTTTCCTGACTATTTGTAGGTGCAGCCTTGCTGTGCAGACAGAAAGGTCCCTGAAAGAACACTTCTGTCTTGAGTACACCCTGCGGGGGCAGGTACACTTTTCCACAAAACCTCAAAGCAGAAAATATGAGCACTCACGAAGCCTGGGGGCGAGGAAGAAACCTTCTACAAGGGACCTGGTGTTCTGCAGGTGCTTTTGCAAACATAAAAAGAGAGGGGAACACGCTTTCCTCA